GTTATGTAATCGTCAGAATTTCACGATGTGACCTATATTTTTTTCCTTCTCTCTGATGCGCCCGCAACGTCTTCAGTTCGCAAGTGCAACGTTGCGTAATTCGGTATGCGGACGAACTAAAGGGGGAAGGGGTCAGCGCCGTCATTGCATCAGGGCTAAAAACTTGATTTCCCCAATCGCAAGAGAAGAAAAGATACTGATCAGAATTGACCTTTCCGGTAAGAAATTCCGAGCAAAACACGTGTACGCACGTCTTTCGTGAAAAATAAATAAGGTAGGCAATGATGATATTGCCCTCACCTGGAAGAAAATGTGGGGATCTCGCGAGTAGACCATGAGTGACAGGCGGTTGGCATCTGTCACTACCATGTACTGAAGTGGTTCATCAGCTTTTCTCGTTTCATTGTCAAAGGCAGGACCAGCGGCAATAATATAGACTGTAATTTGCTAAAGTTAATTTAATAAGGTTTCACTAGGAATCTTATAATATCTCACATTGTCTGGGATAAAAGTACTCTTCGGTATACATCCAGTACTGGCCGGGTCCTACTTTGTTCATGTCTCTTTTGTAGGTCTCAATTGGTCCGGTCTTTGACACCGTTCTGTAGGCTTCTTCCATCGAAAACCCATCCTCTCCCATTATGGGATTCGGCGAAACTGTAATGGATAACAAGTATTCACAATGTAATGAATTTCTTCTACTCGCTCAAAAAGATATTTGTCAAAGATTTGGGGCATCCCACACTCACAATAGGCAACAGGACAAAACATTTGCGTACGGAACACATCGAAGTTGATTGCTGCTTTATACATCTGAAGATAGATTGTTACGGATGAAATGTTGCTTTAACGCTCATGTTGAGAACTTTGAACGGTTAGGATTTGCTTCCTCATCTATTCACCCATAGAAATGACCATTATCTGGCAAATATGGCATGTATTTACCAACCTGGAACCACCGGCCCATTATTAACTCGGACGGTACATTAATAGTGTCAACACTCGTTTCCAGCATTCGTCCTATACCACCAATGATACCCGTTATTGTATTGAGGTCCATCTGGAAAATAAATCTTTTTCTATCGAAATCCGAGTTTCTTTTGCGCTTAGTAACAAGTACTAGTTGGCTAACAAGAACTGAGTATCGGATTTAAGATTTCACAATATTTCCTCAAAAATTAGGCGTTTAAAAATGAGGTTGACCTAGTGGTAAGGAAGCAATGAATAAAGGTGAGAAAATGAAGGAGCTGAGCAGTTTACGGCTTTTCAAAAACATAGATCATTCAATAATGCGAGAATCTTGGTTCAGACACTACACCTGTTCTCAAAAATTGTTCCGGCACTCTGTTTTAAAGTAAAAAACACCTCTATCTAACTAACTCATTGGATATCTATTAAATTCACTGGTTTGGTGTAAGATGAATAACCATGAAGTTTTTGTGCTGAGAGATAAAATAATGTTCTTTTCTTGAAATTGTGAGGGGACTGTAGTTAGCTAATGTCTTTGTGAATAACTAAATGTGTACATAACC